ACCGGCTAGTGGTTGGATGCCGAACCCGATCGGCCACGAGTGACTGAACAGCAGTGTGATTAACTTGTACCTGGAGAGGGAAGATAAAGCACGCAATTCTCACGGAGTAATCATCACATGACGCCTTGAGTAACTCAGATCGGAGTTTCACGCCGCATGCGAATTATTACTCCTTCTGAGCTGCTCATAGTTTGTTGAAGGCGTGACAAGATTTGGTGGTCGAGAGCCCAGAACCCCTTGGAATTTCTCGAGATACAATGATGATGATTTCTAATAGGGGTGAAATAGCTACACAGTCTCTCTGCTATTCGGGATGGATTGGCTTCTTTTCAAACTGAAATCTCCACTGAAATTTCATTAAGTTTGTCATCCATTCTCTTGGAACATTATCAGGATGGGAGCCAATTAGGAAACGACTTTTGGGAAGTCAAACATTTTGTCAAAAAAGTTCCTTGATAGTAGACAGAATACCTCTTTTACCGAAGTCATCACGATTTTAAAGGACTCAAGTTAAGGAAGTATGATGGACACATTTTGTTTCAATCAAGACGGAGTCTCGTAGTCACTCCGCTTGTTGTACATCCGCGTACGGAACCGTGAGATCTTAGATACTGAGCGATTCAAGTTAGCGAACCTCACAGAGTTTTTAGTAAATGCTCCGAAGACGGAACGACCCGGGATTTTCGGGTCAGATTTATAAAATCAAATGCTGGTGTTCTCTCCTATGGGCGCCTCGATTAAATATTGTTTACCGTGATAATTTCATAATTGCACTTGGGTGAAGTAACGGGTTCAGTTCATCCAGTAAAACTGAGATCTACAGCCCCCATTGTAACATCCTAATTCAGATGAAACCATCCAATCCAGAACTACAAACCTGAAATCTAAATAACGACCTCAGTTTCTAGTTTTTGTTGCCGGGAAAGATTCACTGCACTTTGGCTCAGAGACCAAATTCTCTGATCAAAGAACCGGTCAAGAACAGTCATCAGAGGCAAAATTACTGCTCTCTGAATAAACGTTGTCCGATCCGACCGTTCCCCTACGTTGGCTACGCTCCCCATGTGCCAACTCAACATTTTAATATAACTGGAGACGTAATTCTGGAACACTAAAAACTCTTTGGGAGGCGACTTCGGCGACATGAGTAGTTGAATAGTTTTGCACTCATTGGATCTTGTTGATGGACGTGAGACTGCAGGAGACAGGACTAGGATCCCGCGTTTCAGTGGAACCGTGACGCATACGCGACAGGGTGATTCGGACTTAAATACCAGAGATACTCACCACCTATTTCTCAGGTCACATATAACCCAGTTTACTTAATCGAGGCAAGAACTTGATCAACCAAGCAGAAGTTCAAGCACCTACAGCAAGTGTCGACGAGCTAGTAGCGATACGCTGGTTTCGCATGTCAAGTGTTACCCTTCATATCCCAGCATGACCAAGAACATGCACCTGTAAAGAGTTCAAAAGCATGGAACGAGGATTCCTTTTTGGTACCAACAAACCAAAATACTCTTGTGGGGACCATAGGAGAGCTGGTCATGTGAGGGTAAGGTGAACACAAAAGTATGTGGCCTGTGGGAAAAGATAGTAAGAGCTTGTCTAAACGTGTAAGAAACGATTTTTTGAACACCACATTTCTCGTTCCAATGTCCTGGATTTAGCCAACATGCTCATAAACGAAAGTAAATTTCAAGTGCTCCCTATCTAAAATTTGAATTTATATCTTAAAATATTCACACACACACACACAGTGCACATTCCTAAGAAACGATTTTTTGAACACCACATTTCTCGTTCCAATGTCCTGGATTTAGCCAACATGCTCATAAACGAAAGTAAATTTCAAGTGCTCCCTATCTAAAATTTGAATTTATATCTTAAAATATTCACACACACACACACAGTTGCACATTCCTCCCACACAGCATTCCAGAACCATCGATCATTCTACTTCATAAAAGTTCCATCATTTTTGACGAATTGATTTCGCTCGTTGCCGAAGTTGCGCGTAAAAAGACGGTGTGATTCACTGATGAACTTGACATGTTTGAACGCTTCTTATAACTACGTGAAAGGCCAAAAACAGACGAACTTTATACTCTAACTTGCTCCTCAAATTCTTGACATGGCAAGTAACTAAAGAGAAAGAAGACACACTAAGTGACGTGAACAACACTGATGTTACATTTTAGCACCAGTACTTGGTGTTAGTTGGTGTTGCTCACTGAGACAGTGAGCTTCGTTTGGTTATCGACCAAATAATGTGGCGAGATATAAGTATTCCTATCTCAGACCTGCAAGAACTGTTGCGGCCCAAAACAATCAGTAAATCTTCAATAACAGCGTGCACCGTTAGGATTATCTATTGGCTTCTTCAGATCTATTCACGATTAAGCTTGAAACTGGTTGGTAATTCGCAGTATATGGTCAACAAGTAAAAAGCATGTGTACCAGCTACCAAAACCGGTAACACAACCGAAGTTTTGAATATGGATTCAGTTAACCCTAATATATGTGTTCGTTGGCTTGTTCACTGAGCTGGGCAATTTGATTGTGTCAACGCACAACCCCCAACCCACCGCTACGCACTACTACGCTCCCCAATAACGCACGGATGATGTCACCTCGATTAGTGATGAAACGTTTGCAATCAAATTGTCCAGCTCAGCGAACAAGCCAACGACCACCATCTACGCTACCTGAGCTACCAACATTTTCCTCCTGAAATGTTTTTAGCTGAATGCAGTTCCGGAAAAATCAACCCATACGAGGGCGATAAAAGGAGATATGGGACCGGATAATGGGAATGTGCGATTCAGTCGTATGAACGCAATGGCCAGAGGAAGCCATAAAATTGGAAAGGATACTACTCCGAGGGCGAGTATGTAATGATAAACAAGGTGTCGGGGAGATGCAGTGTTTATAAAGGAAACATAAAATACTCTATGTCCCTTAGCCCTACTACAATCAGTCCAACGTTAAACCCATTCCATTCCTTATCATTGTCCGGGAGTCAGTGCTTCTCACCAGTGAAGAATACTAGATCATTTTCTGAACTGATTGACCAGTGTAGAGCCATAACGGCCCGCCTTGATCCCTATGGGTTCCGTCTAAAGGACAGAAAATGCGTGCTCACTAAGAATAATCGCCAAATTACTAACTCCCATTTAAAAGGAAAGCTTAGGGCACAACGGAGGATTGCACGAAGTGCATTCCCTTGCAATTCACACATGCAGCTGCAAGAAGCTTAGTTGATAACACAAGCAAACAAGTACGGAGTTCAGAAATACATCACAGTCAAATGAAGAAAGGAGAATTGGCCAAACTTTTTAGCCACACCATACTAAATATCAGAGCTCCGCGAGGCTATGTAACAACCAACGTGTGAAAATAAAACAAACGCTCCTCCCAGAACTTGAAGTAGTCGATTTTAACACTTCCGCATTTTTAAAGACAGTAATCGGCCACTTGTGGTGACTCCTCGGTACTTGGCTGTCATACAACTCGAATGAACTACAGAGGAAATACTGCCAGGTTAGATCGTAGAAAATGCAAAGTCAAAGTTGAATTTGAACCATGGACCTACCGAACAGTAGCCTCGCACCTCCATCACTGAGACGACTCGATATATCACATTTACATGAGAAAGACAAATTGGAAATTGATATGGCAACTGGATATGTGCATACTAAGTTGCAAGTGAAAAATGCCGCGTGTGTGAAACTCGATCACCAATTTGAGTATGGCAAATCAGCCACAATAGTTCAAGGTGTCAAAAAATGGCTCTATAGGATTAGTTAATGGGGTACACCAGAAACACACTGTTCCTTCAAGAACGAAGAGGCTAACCTCAGAACTTACAAAAGTGGAGTTACACAATTAACAGATAAAACAGTCGTCATAGAAAAATCCGTGATACCTTTGGTATGTCCAGTCCACGAGCCCCGACGTCTGTACACAGAAGAACAGCAGATTCAGCCTTGATGAAGTTTAAAAACGTGCTTGTACGTTTTGCTTGCTTCTGACGTCCATGAATGGCCATCACAGGAGTGTCAACGAAGTTCAACAGCTCATAATAAAACTTCACTTCCATACACGATGACATGAAGACCATCACCTATAAAGCGGTGATAAAAGTAGTGTGCAATAATAACTCGTGGTCTGGTAAATAGACTGGAAACCGTAAATAGCTGGCAGAGAGATGGAACTGGTGAGTAAACGCGCGGAAGGTGGTGGTGGCATCTCCCACAACCTACGAAGTTTTGAGGAACGAAAGACAGAATTTGAGGATCACGTTTTTTCACCATTTCACCTACACTGGATGGAAGAACGGTAGATATTACCTTTACTACCTACACTACCTATATATACTCTCGCAACAACACATAGCAGATATCTGCAATTTACCAGTGTTAGTAATCTGAAAGGAAACTGATAAGATTATACAGATGAAAGCCCATAGTAAACACACTGATCGTGAAGGTTTTGTGTATTCACTATAAAGAAACCTGACCAGATGGTTGATTTATGGCGCTATAAAGCTATGTTCCATAAAGATTTTCTCTATTCAGTGATGCCAATCTCTGCTAAGAAGCCTAGTATCACTGTACAGCTGTTTCACACTGGCTGCGAATCATCAGTGCGCATCTCAGAAGTGATAGCTAATCACATTGTTGATCAGCCTTTTCTGCTCCAACGGTTAAGTGGTCAGACAACGGCCGGAAAATCTCAGGCTCAGAAATGCCTTATTTCCGTGAAATGCCAACTGCTGATGACTTCTAAAATGAATGAAACATCCTCTCAGCTTTTCAAGATTGACTGCCTTCACTGGCAGGGTGAAACCTCTAGTGAATATTACCAAACCTCTGCACTCCACTGCGAAAGATATGATCCTACGACCGTTTACGGGAAACTTCTCGAACTCAAACTTTCTAACGAGGGTTTATTATGGGAGGCGGAAAATCGAAAATACTAAGTTGGTTACCACTCACCATGCCAAGACACGTAGAACTTTCCCCGCTTCATTTTTGTATGATCACACAGTTTGTTGATTAATCCTTCCCATGTTAATTCACTCACAGGTCCTTTAACGGACCATTCAAATACGATGAACCTAGATGATCTCACCACAGATGGGAATGCAATCCGTAGGGTGAACATGATGCCTATCGGAAAAAAATGCAATGGTTTTCTGCATTGGTACCTTTTTATTCGTTCTGTAGGCAAGCGCGATCACGTTACACTCACAGAGTCAGTGCGATCGATGAATGATGCCTTCAACATGTGACTGTCTGCAAAATTTTCGGGGGCATGCCAATATGCGACAGTGTGCTTCGCAGAAGCACCAACCAACGTTTAACAGGTAAAACAATACGAAGTCACAGAACCATATTACTGTATGCGTGCAATGTGGTACCACACATTTAGAAAATGTTTCAATTTTTATGGAACTGGATTCACTAAAACTGCAACTCCATTAGGGCAGGGACAATACGACGTGTGAACTTTGGCACACAACTTTACCTATTAGGGTCGTAGTGGGAACCCACAGTTCACGGTTCACATGCTTTGAATGTTTGCCGTCACAAGTTAACCTGAGAACGAATTTACGATTCCAAAAGGGACTTATTAGATGACGATTGTGTTGTTCGCACAGTTCTCCACAGGTTCTAACAGGTGTTGCTCAATTACGCGAAGCGAGCATCACTGGGCTTAGTTTGGACATCTGGAAACACCGAGTTCCTTTAAACATCATAGTAACAAAGATATTCATCCTGTTTCTGGAGGAAGTAGACGATCTGTAATGCTGGAAGTTAGGCTTGCGTCAACTCGTAAGTATTACCTGTCTTCATGTTTTCCTAACCCACGGGCGTAAATTTGAATTCCTTAAAATTTTCTTGACTTGCATCTGTTCAGAAGGATAGCTCAGGTGTGTAAATACCAGGCAATCTCAATAATTCTGTCCCCCTTTGGTTAGTTAATCAGTAGAGTGAGACGACTAAGTGGATGATATATTGACAGTCCCACTTCATAAATATTGTTTGAAATGATAAATATACATTTATACATTTATACATTTAAATGTGTAATACGCTACTCATAAGGTTCCTGAAACTTTTTCTACAGCACAAGACCGGTTTTGCCCTTCTTGGGGCTCACCAGGCAGGCGCAGTCTCCGAGTTTCCGTCAACCCTATGTTCTAATTGGACCCAGATTGCTTAATAAACAAGAGATGCAGTTGAGTCTTAGGTAAATCTCCTACTTTGAAACCCAGTTAATATGCAAATGAGTTTATTCGTCGAAATCTGTCTAATTTGGATTCAGTTAGAACATGCGGTTGACAGAAACTCGGTGAATTCACTTATCCGGTGAGTCCCAAGTAGGGTGGAACCGATCGTGGGTTGTCGGAGAGTTTTCAGCAGCCTCAGCAGTAGTATACTGCGTCCATATATAAAACGCTTCAGCCTTTCGCCACATGGTAACAACAATAACAGTGACGACTAAGACGTTTAAAGGATGATGTTCAGCTGAAGGCCACTGCCGAACTTGCCACACTGAAAGCACGTACTACTTGGCTTTCCTGGTTTAATCAGCGCTGCCGCGATGAATGCTTGTTGGAGGTGTTTGCCTATCATAAATATGTCCTGCGATCAAGACTTCTGTGACTGATGATTTTGGATTGCAGAAAGGGGACCGGTGAATAGGTGGTTCTTGTGGCTTTGACTTTTGGATATGAGTTCGGCTGTCTGTTGAAAGATATTGCTTTTTTCTGAGCCATCGTAAGTGCTAATGTAACTGCATATGGGTTGATGAGGGGCGCTGGCGGAGAAACAGCAAGTCTTCAGGCTTGTTCAATTTAAATTTCCGGAACGAATGCGGGTTGAGTTAACCCCAGCTATGTGGAAGAAGAGATGAGACATACAGCAACTATTAAACTGGGTCTAGGATTTCAGATATACGATATCACGCGATGTACATATGTGGTATATTTAATTACAGCGAGAGTAAGAAAACTTTTTTTTCTATTGGGAAACACCCAGATCCGCCTACAGGTTACCAGGATGTATATTTGGATACAGTGCAGTCACTCAATTACAAATTTCTTTTCAAGCGCTTCTATTCATCGTAGAATTTATCAGGAGTGCACCATTCACTTACGCAGTGGAAAGGTGTATTTTAAGCTCCGTTTATAAACCATTGAAACTGTTTTAAAACTTTATGTACTATCTGATCCAGCTAGTCTTAGGGAAGGCGGTAGATGCCAATGTTTTCCGAACGCTCCTTAGGCAGGACACATAAGAAGCATATTTTAAATTCCGGGCAAGTCTGTAATGAAGTCCGGCCGACCAATATTCAAGAAAATGCACCGACATTTTTTCATCGTACGCCATCACCACATTTTTATACTTTTCACCACATTAAGTCTTTCAAATAAATTGTGACTGTACGGCAGCAAAGCTTTCTTATTGAACTCTGATGTTTTGCTATCGATGGTGATAATAACGGTGATCGGGGCCATTCGTTTAAGATTAAACTGTGCAATTTTTAGAGCCAGTGTTTCGTATTGCGCTTTCCCTTGAAAGCTGGCAGCGTTGCTGCTCCTCCGAACGTTGAGATGTCTGTCGTCTAAAAGAACCACCTTTCAGTTATCAAATTCCTGCTCTAAACGGCAATGCAATCTCACTTTGTAGACCAACTTGAAATATACTTACCCCCATCACTATGCTACGCTGTCATTTGGCCTTTCCGAGAGTCAGGGTCATCAAAGAACAAAAGTCTCACCACAGTTCCAGTAAAAACCTAACGCAGTCAGTGATGAAAATTTTTGAATAGGAATGATTTAAAAAATTCAACGGAATTTTTCTCAACCGGATGGTACCATGAAGTGGCTTAATTATTTTATCGTAACCATTGTTCGGATTTTAATTTTTCCGCACCGAACTCAGTCACTTATATGCACGAAGTGCAGGCTTCTAATGAAAAACACTGTTCCTAACAACTGTTTTGTAATGTCTCCGGACTAAAAAATCTATTGTGGAACAAGTGAGATACCAAGTAGCAGCAATGGTAGCTTTCATTATGTTGCCATACACTAAATCCCCTCTTGCTGTACTATTTGCTTAGTCATTTGTGTTTCATCTTGCATTTCTATTTGGTCTACGTTCCTATGTGAATATTTGTTCGAACAGGTTTTTTAAGGCAACCATAGCGGCAGATAATTCTGTGTAATCGTGAGTAATGGCGACATTTAACGAGTCGGTTTCCAAGGGATCGATCAACCGAGAAGACCTTCAAGGAGATCTTCAAAGAGCATACATCCATGATAAAATTCAGTCTGGTTTGGCGCATGCACTTCAATCGTCTCTCAAGATTTGCCCTGCCATATCGGTTTTAGTGTTCATTTGATTGCAGTTCCACAAGATCAAGTCAACAATCAGGATAGCATAAGTATGGTTAAGGTGAAGCAAGTGGTATTACAGACAGGTGAAATGACTTAGTTACGATGAATCACAGTAAAGACATGGCGTAATTACTATCATTATGGTAAAACGTGGAGAATTGTCATTGCTATCGAACCCGTGAAATGAACAACCTAATTAGGATACAGAGTAAACAGCAATACAGGACACAGGAGTGGACCGCTAATTTACTGAAACACTAGTTGATAGTTGCTTTCCTTTTATCTAAAGGAGAATTAAAGTATCAAATCTAGACTGGCCCGGCAATGTTAAGTGATCATCCCTGACCCAATTTAGGACTTGTCGAATCTGCGTTGTGACCAATACTTGAAAAGTGCTAAATAGACTATATTTGACAGTGACACTACGCCCTGGAAAACATTTTGATGCGCGCATTTCTATTTGTATTCTCGGCTGTGTCATATATTCACTGGGCGAGACGGCCCAAGTGGTTGGAGCGCGAATTTACTGGCCCGAACTTCCGTGATTCGAACCCGATCTCTGCCTTTGAACTTAACTGTCTAGGCTTGGTCAACCTGGCAATATCCCAGCCTTCATGCGAGCTTCGGGTGGCATGGCAGTTAGACACTGAAAGGGTGCTCAGCTGAAACTATATTCACTGGATCCACAGATAATAAAATCGGCGCATTTTGTTAAATTCCGAACGCAATGCGACTTGCTCTTTTGAGTAAGTTTGGATTATGGGTTAGTGTATTGAAACGGCGTTAAATGAACAGCCATGTACGAAAGCCTGATCAGTACGGATAAACAGCTCTCATTTAGGGACTATAAGTAATTTACCTTACGCAACGAGGATACGTCAACTGGCTAGTTGTAACCAGACAAGGCTGTGTCACGCACACGTTAACAGCGGCGGTAGTTCTCTAACCACCCAACGGTTAACTGTCCTGGGATAAGACATTTTTGGGCAACTAAGACGCATACTTACTGTCATCAAATGTGGTTACATAGTGCAGAGTTTCCAGCAATCTTCCTTCTTTAAACAACTAAAATATTGCTCATTAACACAGTCAAACTTCAACTGCTGATGTCACCCCCCAATTACAAAGGCAAGATACAATCTAATGATGGTATAAGAAGATTTCTAGACATCTAATCAATAAATAGTTCTATAGGTCAAGCCAGTCTATGCTGGAAGGCGAAGAAGCACCTTATAAATTCATCGTCCTTGTTTAGGATAATCAGCAATGCGAACGCCCACGGCTATTCGAACCACAACTTCCCACCAGTAATTTCACACTGAAATCTTCCACGGCGAGTGGTTGGTCAGCGATGTGAACTGCTTGTTTATGACCGTTTCAGATCCCCTTATCAGATTATGATTTTTTCGTCATTATTCACGAATGTTGGTCAAATATATTTAAAAATTCATTCAAAAGAAAATAACTGTGTGAAATGCTAGATACTAGGTCAGTGTGCAAGCGTTAAGTCAAAGAAGTAGCACAACAGTTTCACTTAGCTTCGTTATACTTTGGGAGAGTTGACATGACGATGAAGGATGGACAAGGAAGCTGAACCAAGGCTATATTCAGACGGTGAGAAGTCATATCAACGAAATCTTTTATGCAGTTAGCCGCAGTTTTTCCAACATCAATGGAGAGGTCAAAAGACAGATTTCTCCAATGAGCGTAGTCACACGTACTTTACGTCAGCGTGATTTATTGTGGCACAGTCTAATCAAAATTCGACTTTTTAA